TCCTTCTATAAGTGGCCTTGGTCATAGTGTTTTATCACAGCAACAGAAAACTAACTAATACATCTGGGAAAGTAAGAAAGTTCTAGAAATGGGTGGTAAAGATGGCTAAACAATGTGAATGTTAATGCCACTAAACTATGCATTTGAAACCACAAAAATTAAATGATAAATTATTTTATATTATGAATATTTTATACAAAAATTTTAGAAACACAATCTAATTAGATCTGGTCAAAAGACTTCACCAAAGATGAAAATTGTCATCAAAGAGGATGACACTTCACCAAAGATGTATGGCAAATAAGCACATGAAAAGACCATCAACGTCATGAACTATCAGAGAAATGCAATTACAAAAAAGAAGAATACAACTGCACATCTATTAGAAGGCAAAAACAGACAACCACAACAAAAATGCCTAGCCAGGCATGGTGGGACACACTGGTAATCCTAGTACACAGGGGGTGAAGCAGGAGAACTGAAGTTTGAGGCCAGAAAGGGCTATGTACATAGCAACTCCTTGTTTAAAAATTCAAGGCATAAGACTGATATTAGCTACTATGTGTTGGCAAGGATCTGCAGCAACTAGACATCTCATATACACATGGAGATAAAGTAAAAGGACCCAGTCACTTTGCAAAAGAGGTTTGGCAGTTCCTGAAGTATGCACTGACCATATAATCATATTCTTGGATATTTACTTGGAGAAATGAAAACTTACATTCATTCACACAATGACTTCTAAATCAATGTCCATAACAGCTTTTATTGGTAAGAGTGAAAAACTGGATACAACCCAGATGACCTTCAGTGACTGAATGGACATTCTGATTCAGCCATACAAATATTCTCTAATAAAAAGGAAATGTGATACATACATAATTTGCATGGATCTAAATGCATTAGGCTGAAGAGCCAGTCTGGCAGAGTTATATACTGTATGAGCCCCAACTCCGTGTGTGTGTGTGTGTGTGTGTGTGTGTGTGTGTGTGTGTTTTACCAGGGATCTAATCCAGTGCCTCACACATGCTAAATATATGCTCTATTGCTGAGTCATATCTCCAAAATATTCTTAAAAGAACAAATTATAGTGATTTAGAACAGATCAGCAGTTGCCAGGAGTTGGGGGCTATGAGGTCACAAGAGGAAGTTTCTTTGTGGTGCTGGAATAATTCTATATGCTGATTGGGCTGGTGGATACATGAACCCAATGGGAGATTACACACACACACACACACACACACACACACATATGCACACACAAACATAAACACTCATATATGGCTAGAATTTACATAAACAAAATAATGCATATAAAAACTGGTGATAGTTGCATGAGGTCTCTCTTGCAGTATATTTATTCTAATGTCAGTTTCTGGGTCATGAGAATAACTATGGCTTTAAGAGATATCATCAGTGGGCAAAATTGGAAGAAAAATACACAGAACCTCTGTGCTATTTTTGCAAGTTCTTATAAATTTTAAGACTTTCAAAAGAAAGAGTAAATTACTGATACATGTAATAAAATGGATGAATTTCAAAAGCCATCTTGCTAAGCTAAAAGAGCCAGATTCAAGAGAATACATTGTGTAATCCATTTATCTCAAGTTCTAAAACAAGTAAACTAAATTATGTGATGGAAATCAGGCCTTTGACTGTCTGTGGGCAGTTGTGCAGGGGGAATGACTGGAAAGAGACATGAAGAAACTGTCTACAGTGGTGGAAGCCTTCATTTTTTTGTTTAAATTATAACTTTAAAAAGAGGAAGAATAGGGGCTGGAGAGATGGCTCAGTGGTTAAGAACACTGACTTGACTATTCTTGCAGAAGACCTGGGTTCGAATCCCAGCACCCACCTGGCAGCTAACAACTGTCCATAACTCCAGTTCCAGGGGATCCAACAGCCTCTTCTGTCCTCCACGGGCATTGCACGACACGGGTGTGCTCACCTACATGCAGGCAATACATGCATACACATAAAATAAAAATAATTTTTTTTAAAAAAAGAGGAAGAATAAAGAGCCCTGGTTAATGAAGTTGTCTTCAATGCCAAAAATATATTTTTAAAGTTGGTAGGGTTGAGGGTGTGACAACTCAGTGATACAGAGGCCCTGAGTTTGATTCGTAGCACATACACAAACACACACACAAAAGCTGCACTGGACATATTCATATCTGTAATCCCAGATTCAGGAGGCTGAGGCAGAAGGACTGAAGAAAGTTTGAGGCCCACCTGGCCTAAACAGTGATTTCTGGGTAGGTGTGTGCTGTATACAGAGTGAGGCAGAATAAGATCTCCTTCAAAACAAAACAACACAAAAGATTGACTCATAGAGACAAAAACCTTGGATAAAGGGATTTCCAAAACCTGACAAAAGATCCCAAAGTGACTTGAGAAGAAGCACCTCTAGTAGGCCAGTTTACACTTCCCAGTGTCTCTCAGGAAAATCTAATAAGCATATGAATGCAAACTGTTTTAAAGATTGGGGATTTAAAATTCAGTACTTTCATCTTCTGTGTCTTTTGCACAGAAAATAGTGCCTAGCCTTTCTGAACTGGCCACTCTGAAAGGAAAGCAACTATACCAATTATTGTACCAGATGTATCTAAAATGCCCACAGTCCTTATTTCAAAAGAAAATTCTCTGGGGCCCATGCCTTCCAGACCAGCCACAGGACGCAATGTCACTGGCAAATTTTTTTGGTTATCTGTTGCTATAAAGCCCAAGAACACTGTCCCTTTGTATAGATCCCATTCTAAACTGACTTTTCTTTGGGTCATTGTTCATGCACCTGGATGTATCCTTTGGCTTTTTAATTCAGATAACGGTCTTTCAGTGCTGAGTGGTAGGGACCAGGAAGACAACTCACATCTTCACTCTGAACAGGATAAGGAGTTCCTAGGGTATGAATCTCAAATTGAGGGGCTTCACCGGATGCTAGTAAGGGCTGGGTGGAGATGCCGTGGCTCTCTGGGAAGCTCTGGTGCTCCTGAAAGGAACTGAAAGTCTAAGTGGAATTCTGTTCATGGCCTTGTCACTTACAGATAAGTAGAGAGAGACAGGAACTGAATCTTAAAACTGTGTTTGATTCAGAGAGCTGGCAATCTGAGAAGTCAGGATGAATACTCCAGAGATCTGTATTATATTTCATATCCAGCCAGCAGATTCTATAACCAGAAGGGGGAGAGGGCAGGGACAAAGGAAGACAATCACTCTGGGGATCAGGCTTGCCCTTCTGCCCAGGTATAAGCCACATTTTTGAGACGTGTGATGTCTGCTTTTCTGTGTTATCTCTGACGTTTTTCCTTCATTCTGAGGATGTTTGGACTCAGGCACTTGAAACACTGAGTCTTCAAGTTAGTGTCTGGTAGGTTCAACTTTGTACTCTTTCAGGGGCATTAGGGTTGAAGGAGGGGTTAACTCAGAATAAATCACTAACATTGTGTATGTGCTAAGCTACTAATAATATATACATGCAGATTCCTTCCTATAATGTACAGTACAGTATGTATTTGTAATACAGAATATGAAAATACCCCTACCAGTCAGTTCCTTCTGTCCCCTATCAAGGAATCAAAGCAATTGGTCATCCACACTGCTGGAGGTAACTGAAGGCCTAAGTGACCACCCAGTGGCAGTAGGGAGGGACAGTTGGAAGGTATGGAGTCCATACCTCAGGGTCACCTCTCCATTTTACAGATGGGGTAGAAACCCAGAAAGGCCACACCTAAGCAGCTGTCCCCAGTTCCCATCTCTAGCCCTACCAGGCCTCAGGCCTCTCCAGTCTGGATATGTCATCAAAACACAGCAGGATGAAAACCACTTAATTCCCACACCTCTTCAAACCAGCAAGAAGGCTCCATTCACATCCAATAACAAAACCTTCCAGCAATCCTACTGATTCCAGCCCCAGACACATCTCGGTCTTGAGGACCCACTCCATCCCATCCTATCCACCTCCTAGCCCAGCTCTGTTCCTGCTTCCAGTTCCCATCCCCTCTCTTCTGGCCACCGTACCTCCCATTCTCACTTAGCAACCAGGCTAATCCCTACCTAGTATCTAGTGATTCCCCTACCATCCTAGCTCTCCCGAGCCTTTAAACACAGCCTCCTCTTCTCAGCTCACAAAATCCCTGACTTGGAGGTGGCAGCCTGCAGCTTTGATCCAGAGACAGGAATATTTGCAAAGTCCTGATGGGTGGGGACTGTGACCCCAACAGCCAGGCCTGGCTCCCTTCAGCCCAAGGATGAGACTTAAGACTAATGAACTTCTAGAGACTGACCCCCTAGGGTGTTTGGAACCTTTCCCATAAGTCTGAACTCTATACCCAGGTTGCTGAAACCTTCCCTCAGGATGGAGTCCTAGTTGTGTTAAGAAGCAATGGAAAAAGACCACCTTTAGGGTCAGACACTTCTAATTCCAAATCCAGGATCACGGAGTCCATCTTTGGTGTGTTGGAAATGGAGATAACGTTAACGCGAATCATCTATGAAGGTTGCCATGAGAAACAAGCTATCAAGCCCACACCACCATACTTGGCATAATGGGCGCTTAGTGCATCCAGGAAAGCTACATTTTGCATCCAATAGACAGCACCCACTCATACAGCGGCAGGCTCCCCGCCACTAGAGTGAGTGCAAGAGCCTTCCACAGCCCGCAGAGGGGTGGCCTGAAAGTCCCTCCACCTTACGCGATCAGACTCCTCATTGACTCAGACCCAGCACGTGGGGCAGATGCAGTTAGGTATGTGTGCACTGCATGCTGGCCGTGTGGCCAACCGCCCCCCGAGGTCTGCACAGTTGATTCCAGTGCACAGGAACAGCGGGGAAGGGCCACGACTACCACCTTAGCTCGCCGCACTACTCCCTGGCCATTGGCCAGGTGGGCAGGGCCCTCAGGCTTTGAGGGGACTGCGCATGCGTAGCACCCTGCTATTGGTTGCTATGGAAGAGACGGGGCCCACATGCGTCACGCCCTGCCATTGGCTGCTCAGGAGGAGGCGGGACTCGCCCTGGCGTGCGGCGCCTCTGTGTTGTCATTAGGCGGCCGATAGAGGACACGGGCAAGATGGCGGTGGTGGCGGGTCTGTTACGGAGACCTCTGCGGCAGGTAGGCGGCGGCCCCGCGCACGCCCGCGACCCGCCCCGCCACCTCTCTGAGCCTCCTTCTTTCCCCCCGCCAGGTTTCCGGGCTGCTGAAGAGGCGTTTTCACCGCTCGGCGCCCGCGGCCCGCACGCCCGCGACCCGCCCCGCCACCTCTCTGAGCCTCCTTCTTTCCCCCCCGCCAGGTTTCCGGGCTGCTGAAGAGGCGTTTTCATCGCTCGGCGCCCGCGGCGGTACAGGTAACTGGCACTGACGCGGGGCAGAGCCGGGAGGGCGCTCTACGTCCCGGGCGGAGGCGGGCGAGTAGGGGTCGCGCCTGCGCCGAGGCTGGGCGGGAGTCAAAGGGAGTCAGGAGAGGGGTCCGGGATCCGCTCTGCCAGGTTGTCGCCTGTCGCCTCTTCGTTGACACTCCCACAAGGCCGATGGCAATCAGATAAGCGATCAGCCGCTTCCCTGACTCCCTTCCCTACCCACCTGTAATTTTGGCATAATATAACTAAAAAATCAAATGTGTGAAAATGTAGACTTTAGTGGCATGGAGTGTATTCACCATACATGCTGCCCATTTCCCGAACTTTTTTCGTCATCCCAAGCTGGAATTCTGTCTACTACCGGGTGATACCTCACTCCTCCTACCCCGCTAGCCACTGGTAACCCCTGTTGTACTTCACTGCCTCTGAGTTTTCCTGTTCGAAAACCTCGTATAAGTTGAATTATTTGCCCTCTTGTGTCGGGCTTATTTCACACCACTTTATTTTCAAGGTTCATCCATGTTGTAGAATTCCTTTGAAAGGTTCATTCAAGGATGAGTATTTGGAAACCTTTGGGTTTTGTAACAGCGCTGTGAACACTAGCGTGCAGATAATTAATATGCTTGAGTTCCTGCATTCGGTTCTTTGGCATACATATTTAGAAGTGGAGGCTTTCACCATTCACCGTATTAAAGTAACAACTGCATTGTGGATGGCAACGGTTGAGCTGTGCCTGGCACCAGTGTGTGCTCAATACTTAGCCTTAGGTAGGCTTTCTTTATAGTACTCCTACTGCTTAGTACTCCAAGTGTAGTAATAAAATAGCCCACTTAGGAAACTGCCTGTGAGCTAGTTTGATCAGCCATCAGTTTTCTTAAGCCAGGGCACATCAAGTAAAGTGTTCAGTAAGCTTATTAACAGCCAAAGATTATGTGTGACAGAAATGTTGGTTTTAAAATTCTTGGAACTTTAATTTTTATTACATTTATTTATCTACTTTGTGTGTATTTGTGGTGGTCAGAGGACAACTTTGAGGGATTAGTTGGTTCTCACCTTCCACCATATAGGGACCTGGAAATCAAATTCCTCAGGCTTCGTAGCAAGCTCCTTTACCCACTGAGCCATCTTGTCAGCCAGATTCTTGGAACTGAAAGGGAATTGCCTGTTTGAGGATTAGTTTTGTATGTTTTATGCTGTGAGCAGCCTCAGTAAATATAAAGAAAGCTCTCCATGGTATCTAAGTAATTAGTATTCTGAGTAATACATTGGCTGGTTTACTGTTTTCACACACTTATGACAGCTGACAGTTCGTGAAGCTATTAATCAAGGTATGGATGAAGAACTAGAAAGAGATGAAACGGTGTTTCTGCTTGGGGAAGAAGTCGCCCAGTATGATGGTGCTTACAAGGTAACAAAAACAGGTAAAAGTTACATAAGATGAAAGTAGCTATGTACCCTGACATACACTTAAAGAAATGGGGTTAAATTTTAACTGTAGGTTAGCCGAGGTCTGTGGAAGAAGTATGGTGACAAGAGGATCATCGACACTCCCATATCAGAGGTAAGCCTTCCAGACAAGCACAGTTCAGGTTCACAGTCCTCACTTCTATGGACCTCTTCTTAACGATGGTGTTTTACTTCACAGATGGGCTTTGCTGGGATCGCTGTAGGTGCAGCTATGGTACGTAATACCACCATAGTGAGCTCGTGTAAAGAGATCTGCTTTAATACTATCTTTTAAAAAGAGTTTGCATGATTTTAGTTTCTTTAACATCAGTGTTTTTGATTTGACAGGCTGGGTTGCGACCCATCTGTGAATTTATGACCTTCAATTTCTCTATGCAAGCCATCGATCAGGTTATAAACTCAGCTGCCAAGACTTACTACATGTCCGCTGGCCTCCAGCCTGTGCCCATAGTATTCAGGGGGCCCAATGGTGCCTCTGCAGGTGTAGCTGCTCAACACTCACAGTGCTTTGCTGCCTGGTATGGGCACTGCCCGGGCTTAAAAGTGGTCAGCCCCTGGAATTCAGAGGATGCGAAAGGACTCATTAAATCAGCCATTCGTGATAATAATCCAGGTGAGCACAGTAACCCCTGGGTCTCACTTGAACATTAAGGCACTGCACAGAAGGAACCATTAAGGGCTTCTATTAGGCTTAGGTACAGCATACAAAGTGCTAATGATTTCTAGACAGAGTAAAGGTAGTAAAGAATGTACTTTTTGGGCTGGAAGGATGGCTCTGCAGTTAAGAACACAGGCTGCCCTTGCAAAGGACCCCAGTTTAGTTCCCAACACCCACATGTTGGCTGACAACCATCCATAACTTCAGTTCCAGAGGATCTAATGCCCTCTTCTGACTTCCATAGGCACTGCACAACATGGGTGCACTTACATACATACAGGCAATGCACTCATACACATAGAATAAAAATAATAAAATATTTTAAAAAATAAATGTTTTTAAAAATGCACTTGTTGCCAGGTGCAGTGCTCAAGGCAGAGGCACATAAATCTCTGAGTTTGAGGCCATCCTGGTCTACATAGCAAGTAGCTACAGGGAGACACTGTCTTAAAAAATAACGTAGTTGTTTTTCTTATTTCTCACTATAAGGGGGCTGGTTAGGTAAGGTGAAATTTACTAAACACCAGCACTGGCTTACCCTTAGTGAAACGATAGTGGCTACACTAAGATGCCAGCACATAGACCATCATGAAGCTCCTGGATATGATAAAGACAAGGCTTCCTCATACTCAAAAGATGCATGATTCTGTCATGTATGCATTCTTGGTTGTAATGTCTGTAGTTATGTTTGCTTAAGTATTTATAACATTTTGCAGTGGTGATGCTAGAGAATGAATTGATGTATGGAGTAGCATTTGAACTTCCTCCAGAAGCTCAGTCAAAAGATTTTCTCATTCCTATTGGGAAGGCCAAAATCGAAAAGCAAGGTAAGAGAACTTCAGCATACATCTAGTCATTATTTCTCTGGCCCTTTTGTTGATGTAGGTCATATTTAATCTAGACATTACTGCCATGTAGTTTGACTTAAAAGGTAAAGAACAAACTCATTAGGCTTTTCTGAATCAGTCTGGTAGGTTTATATTTCATTCCTAGAAAGACAGCCTCATTGCTTGGCTCACTGGGATGAAGTTGAAGTTTTGGTAAAAGGACAGGAGCGACAGCTGATTGCAGAACCACCAGTGCTGCAACTTTAGCTCCTTACTGACCTCTAATCTTTGACCATTTTGTTTCAGGGAACCACATAACTATAGTTGCCCATTCGAGACCTGTGGGCCACTGTATGGAAGCTGCAGCCGTGCTGTCTAAAGAGGGAATCGAATGTGAGGTGAGAGGACATTCACTTGTTCTTTTTTTTCTTTATAATCAGAAAGGCTCCTTGTAAATTTATGACCCAGGGCCAGTGAGATGGCTCAGCAGGTAAAGGTGCTTACTACTAAGCCTGATGACTTAAGTACAATCCTCATGGCTTGATCCCGGGAGCCACGTGGTAGAAGTAGAGAACCAACTCCTGAAAGTTGTCCTCTGACCTTCACATATGCACCATGGCATGCACATGCATGGACACACACTAAATAAATATAATACATTTAAGTTATGCATGATGATTTATGCCTATAATCCTAAAACAAGGAGGCAGAGGGAGGAAAAGCAACTTCCAAGTTAGCCTGAGTTATATAGCAAGATTCTTTCTCCAAAAAAAAAAAGACTTTTGAGCTCTGTACCACATTAACAGATCTTTTTAAATTGAGATTTTTTTTTTCAATTCTCAGTTTTTAAAAAAATATTATTTTTATGTGTATGAGTGTATTGCCTGCATGTAGGCAATGTGCATGGAGGACAGGCCATCGGATCCCCTGGAACTGGAGTTACAGACAGTTAGCTGCCATGTGGGTGCTGGGATTCGAACCCAGGTCTTCTGCAAGAACAACCAGTGTTCTTAATTGCTGAGCCATCTCTCCAGCCCCCACTAACAAATCTTTTGTCATGCAGTTCTTACTTTCCACATAAGGCTTTTTACCACTTAAGTCTCTAGATCTTCTCTATAGTACCTGTTTTCTCAAGTTAAGACTGAGTCTAGCCAGGGTGGGGAGATGGCTCAATCAGTAAAGTGTGCTTGCCAAGCAGCATGTGTGTCTGAGTTCAGACCCCTAGCAAGTTGAGTGTGGCAGCATGTACCTAAACCCAAGCACTCGAGAGGTGGTGACAAGAGGATCCCTGGAGCTTGCTAGCCACTCAGTGTAGCCAGGCACTGAGCTCCAGGTTAGTAAGAGACCCTGTCTCAAAAATAAATACTACCCCATCCTAGAGTGGCTGTGAAAATGATAGCGTAAGGCTTGGTACATGATAAGACTCAACTATTTTGATAAGAGGGATGCTGAAACCAGGGAGGGGACCCAAAGAGACAGCTCAGTGGTTAAGAGCACTGGTTGCTCTTCCAGAGGACCTGGGTTCAGTTCCCAGCACCCACATGGTGGCTAACAACCATCTGTAGTTCCAGTTCTAGGGAATCAGAAGCCCTCTTCTGGCCTCTGCAGGTGGTATCTTACATACATGCAGGCAAAAACCTCATTTCTAGATATGTCTGCCAGGTGTGGTGGTGCATGTTTTTAATCCTGGCACTTGGGAGGCAGAGGCAGGCAGATTACTGTAAATTCAAGGCTAGCCTGGTCTACATAGCAAGTACCAGGCCAGCTGGGGCTACAGGAAGACCCTGTCTCAAAAAGCTCCCACCCCCCAAAAAAAGATAATTAAAAAACAAGAAAAAAACCAAGGAGAGTAAGTGAATCCTATAGATGAACAAAGCTGCCTGTGACAGGGAGATTAACTTTCGTTTTAATTACAATTCTTTTAAAATATTTATTTTATGAGTGTACTGCATGCGTGTGTATAAGTGCACCTGTGTCACTCAGTGCCGCAGAGGTCAGAAGAGGGTGTCGGATTCCCTTGGAACTGGAGTTAAAGACAGTTCTTAGCTACCATGTGGGTACTGGGAATCAAACCTGGGTCTTCTGCAAGAGCAGTCAGTGCTCTTAACCACTGAGCCATTTCTCTAGCCCCTTAATTACAATTTTAAAAATTTATTTTTGTTTAGCTGGGTGTGGTGGCACACGCCTTTAATCCCAGCACTCAGGAGGCAGAGGCAGGTGGATCTCTATTATAAGTTCAAGGCCGGCCTGGTCTACATAGTGACTTCCAGGACAGCTGGGGCTACAGGGAGATCCTGTCTCAAAAAAGGACAAAAAAAAAAATGTACATATATATTTTGTTTGTTTGTTCATTTTTTATGGGGCTGGAGAGATGGCTCAGCGGTTAAGAACACTGGTTGTTCTTGCAGAATACCTGGGTTCGAATCCCAGCACCCACATGGCAGCTAAGCATCCACGGGTGCACTTACCTACATGCAGGCAATACACTCATACACATAAAAAAAAAAAAAAAAGATAATATTTTTTAAATATATGTTTGTTTTTTTTATGTATTAGAATGTATTTTGCATGTAAGTGCACCCGTGTCATGCAATACTGGAGGAGGTCAGAAGAGGGCATCAGATCCCCTGGAACTGGAGTTCTAGGTGGTTGCTGGCCATCACGTGGGTGCTGGAGATCAAACCTGGGTCCTCTGTAAGAACAGTCAGTGCTCTTAACTTCTGAGCCATTTCTCCAGCCCTTAATTACAATTTTTTAATTTAATTTCTCCTTTTACTTTGAGACAGGGTCTCGCTATGTAGCCCATGGTGCCCTCAAACTTGTGGCAGTCCTCCTGTCTCAGACTCCCAAGTGGATTACAGGTCTGCACCATGCAGGGTTTTCTTTTTATTTTCTACGTTTCCTGTACCTGTTGATATAAACAAAAAACAAAGTGGTATTTTGAGGTCAAGTTTATATTTGCCTCTCAGGTTCTATAAAGCCTATTTATTATCTTTTTAGGTGATAAACTTGCGTACCATCAGACCAATGGACATTGAAGCCATAGAAGCCAGTGTCATGAAGACAAATCATCTCATAACTGTGGAAGGAGGCTGGCCTCAATTTGGCGTAGGCGCTGAGATTTGTGCCAGAATCATGGAAGGTATTTTAAAGAAACTGGTTCTAGACTACAATAAGCTGTAGTGAATGTTGTATACTTGAATACCAACTGGAAAGAGATCTACAGCTAGGGGTGATCAAATGACTTTTCAACTTGTCAGTGTGGGATTTTTGTCCTTTGGGGAAGTGCTTACAAAGTGAAACTAGATCGGTTCCCTGTACCTAGGGTTTGTTACCTTGATTTCTCCTTGGTGGCCCCAAATCTGTGTCTTAGATGAGCCCTCTCTCCTAGGCCCTGCCTTCAATTTCCTGGATGCTCCTGCTGTTCGTGTCACTGGTGCTGACGTCCCTATGCCTTATGCAAAGATTCTAGAAGACAACTCTGTACCTCAGGTTAAAGACATCATATTTGCAGTAAAGAAAACATTAAATATATAATTTGGACTTAAGTATCAGGTCATTGAAATTATTTAAAATACTTGCTGGCCCTTTGCCTGAATTGTACTGCAAAACCTTACTATTCATAAAGTTCTTTCTAAAGCAGCAACAGGTATTTCTGTTAAGTGTGTTTCAGGGAGAACTCTCCACTCCCCTGCCCTAGATTCCATGCTTTGTCTGTTACAGTTCCCCTTTCCTTAATAAGATTCATGTAAACTTTTACCCTGTTTCACTGAAGGACAACGTAACAATGTTGTAGAATCCTGGTGGAAGGCAGGTCCAAAAAAGAACTTACATGTCTAAAAAGTACACATAATCTACATTTGCTGTTAGATTGTTCTGATAAGGAATAAAGGGGATTCTATCTATGAGTAATTGTATTTTTATGTTCATGAAATAACGTGTGTGGCAGTCTTGAAATTCTATTATGAAATTAGTGCCAGATGGAAAATACCTTGATACTGCAAAAAACAGCTATGGCTTTTCTACTTAAAGTGCCAAAGACCCAAACCCAGGGTCATGTGCATGATAACCAAGGGCTCTACCACAGAGCTATATCCCTAGACCCTCATTGTTTGCTTTTTTTCATGTCTGAAACTTTATCCAAAGTGGTAAAACTGAATGCAGGACTCAGACTCCCAAAGCTTCCAACGGAGGCAGGATTTCATGTGGCTTAGGTTGGCCTCAAACTCAGGTAGTCAAGGATGACCTTGAACTTGCAATCCTCCCACCTCCACCTCCTGAGTGCTACAGCCGTGCAGCACCATGCCTGGTTTATGTGGTGCTGGGGACTAAACCTAGGACTTCGTTTGTGTTAGGCAAGCACTCTACCAACTGAGTTACATCCCCAGCCCAGTCTGCAGACTGATGCCTCATTCTAACAGAGTTCCCTTTAAAATGGAAGCAAAATTTATGTCAGATACTTTCTCCCCATTGCCAAAAACCAGACATTCTGTCATACACTTACCTCTTTAGCATTTCAGATGGAAAAGACTGGCCTAAAGGAATTATAGAAGCATACAGATATTATCTAAATAGTAAGACAGAATTGTTAGCTCTTATGAAGAAGTATCAGGGCACAAAAGAGACAGGTAGGGGCTGGAGAGATGGGTCAATGGTCAACACAATGGCTGCTCTTCTAGGGGACCCAGGTTTGGTCCCCAGCACCCACATGGTGGCTCACACTCACCCTTATCTCTAATCCTAGTGGATTCCATGCTGTCTTCTGCTCTCTGAGGGTACCAGGCATGTACATGGTATACTTACATATATGCAGACAAAACACCCATACATACAAAATAAAAACAGACAATATAGGGAGAAAGAAACTTGGAGTGTATTTTATGACTCTACCCTTTTGTTTACAAAGGCGCTGTAGAAAGTTCTCATTTGAAATTCACAAAGCCACAGACAACACATTTTCTTGACATGGTTTATTTTAAAAAAAATACAGCTGAACATTTATCACAGATTACATGAAACTATACACAATGACATTCTTTCTGCATAGTAACCAACACTGATGTGTGTACTTGAATTTTAAAATGGATTATTTATAATCCTTTAAAGTGCAATTTATTTAAAAGTTTAAGCAAATCATGGGATAAAAGATTTCTAGTAACTGAGTAACAAAAAGATGAACTTGGATAAATCAAAAGTCAGAATTGGTTCCTATAGATGCCAGATTTACTTAAAATAGTGACCCTCCCTATACCCCAAACTTGATTTAATTGCTGAGGACTAAGAAGATCCTTTAATTGGCAAGATGTTTTTCTGTTTCCATACATTCTGACTGAAAACTGTAACTCCAGAGTAGTCATTCTCAGCCTGGAGTTCATAAACCACAACAAGATTCCCACTGGAACTTGAGACTGGGAAATTCTTCCTGTTCTGTTTTAGGAGAAAATAAAGATCTCTTGCTTCTCTGACTCAGCAACTTAACTATGTCTTGGTTATAATGTTAATGAATGTCTGAGGTGAAATAAAGGTAGCACAAACCAGAATTACCTAAGAAATAACCAGAAAATTCTTCAGAGAAATGAGCTACGTGAAGAACATTTCTGATGGAGGAGGGACTGTAACATGAAGGCCATTCAATGCTGTGACAGAATGTTGTCACTGCTTTTTTCTGTCCATTTCCTTTAGCTGGTGAAAATATTGTTTCCTCATATGCTGCTGCCCCTAAAAGATGCCCATCAGAGGATGACCAAGACTTAGTCACAGAGGAGCAAAATGTTAAGGCAGCAATGCTGGCCCTATTTTACTCTATTTGGAGGGCATTTCCCTCTTGAAAAGCCTTACTGGAGTATATCTGTAAGACTGACTGTATTTGCTCTGCAAGGAGTCACCCAGGAAGAAGGTACATTAGGGAGGCTCTGTAAAGACTCACCTAGGAAGCAGGTACTTTAGAGGATAAGGATTCCCCCCACCCCCCAATGTAAACAGGAAGCATCAGCCAATCTTAGGAGCACTGTGATCACAGGTTTTGGTTTTCTTCAAAGTTCCCTTTTGGAAATTCTGGATGGAGTTGAGCAAGGCCCCACGGCTCATGCCATTCATAGCCTGGGGTAGGAGCGGGGCAGACATCTCTGTGCCCGAGGTTGGCAAGGGTCCTGCTGGTGGGGGCGGAGGTGGTGGAGGAGGTGGTGGAGGAGGAGGTAATGCAGAAGATAGCCCTGCAGAGGCAAGGGGAAAGGGACAGTCAGTACTCCACCTTTCTACCCTGCATGCTGCTACTCAGACCAGGTCAGAATGGATTTAGTGAAGACTAAATGTTTTCAGAGGGACCAAGATACCAAATAGTCATGTGAGAAGAGCTATGAACCAGGTACCAAAGGTTACATGAAACCATACAATGTGACATTCTCTACTAGAGGAAGCTCTCACTCCATTTCCAGCTCTGTAGCTTAGGTTTGGGACAGCTTTACCTACTGAGTTTACAATGTGAGACAGATACTTGCATGCACAGAATTGGGCTACCTGAATACCAGTTACTCCAAAATGATCAACAATGCTTGGCTACTGCCCCACACAATATTTGAAGGCTGTGACTGGCTAGGAAGCTCTAGGGATCTTTCTGTCACCACCTCTGTAGCAGTGGAGTTTACAGGTATATGTTGCTGCTCCTGGATTTTAATTTCATTTAAAAATTTTTTTATGTGTATGAGTGTATTGCCTGCATGTATGTAAGCACATCTGTGTCATTCAATGCCTGCGAGAGGTCAGAAGAGGGTGTTGGATTCCCCTGGAACTGGAGTTATGGATGGTTGTTAACTGCCATGTGGGTGCTGGGAATTGAACCTGGGTCCTCTGCAAGAGCAGCCAGTGGTCTTAACCACTGTGCCATCTCTCTAGTCCCTTTATTTTTTTTACATGGGTGTCAGGGATCCAAAATGAGTGCTCATGCTTGCAAAGCAAGCACCTGACTGAGCCATCACCCTAACCCCACAAAACTGGATCTTAACTTGAGAAAGCAAGTACTACTGGAAAAGATCCAGAGCAGAGTCTACGAGATAAAGTATATGGAAGGAAAGCTGCTTTCGGCTTTCAGCAGAGACAACCTGGAGACGGTCAACATCTCTTAACCCGTTTCAGAAGGGTAAGCAACTCAGGATTCTCAGCCAGAAGCCAGTGCCAGCTGCATTATGTGTGTGTTTCTCTGAGGAGTCTCTTAAATCATTCTTGTTGGGCTGCATTAAAGAAATATAAAATGCTAATAACTGAGCAGGAATTTAGAAAATGGGTCGCAGTGGCAGTAGCTCTCTCAGGGAGTCCGTTGGGTACTCTTCTTCCCACTGTGGCTAAGCCAGGAACAGAATGGGCTCACACCAAACATCTCTGCTGCAGCATTAGGCAGCCTCAAGGAGAGGAAACTGGGTAGGTGTCTAAAACTTCCTCAACTTCCAGGCTTATGAACAACTTGAAATTCACTTTTTCCTTTTATATTTATTGTGTGTGTACATGCACTCACACACATGCTACACTGCTCATGTAGAGGTCAGAGAACAACTTGCAAGAGTCAGTTCTCTCCATGTGGACCCCAGGAATTGAACCCAGGTCATCAGGCTTGGTTGGCCTATGTCTTTACCTGCTGAGCCATCTCACCAGCTGAATTTTGTATTTTTTAATCACTGGGTGACTTGTTCTTTCAGGACCAAATAATGTACAGAAATAGCAGTGCCTTACTAAACGTTACTATGTTGTAGTTACCGCCCCATGTCCTGTGAACACTGTTCTTCAAGACCCTGTCTGTGGTTAACATTACCCTTTTCCCCTTCTTGGTTCTATCAAGTGTGGCAGGCAATGGCTTGAAGACTTGCAATTCACAGAAAACCACTTACCTTCCTTTATTATCTTTTACCCCAACCTAAGGCAGCTGAAATGAAAGAATCACACAAGTGCACATTCTCATGCTCTGCAATCTTAGAATTCTCAAATAATGATAACAGTACAAATACAGATTAAATAGACAAATGAACAAAATGTAATTTGCATTGGTTTTACTCAATAACAATGATGTTCAATTATGTTTTATGCTAGGATGGACTGTGGGAAGATATTCCTGGCTTTATGTCACAGGGTTATAAAGATAAAAAGGATTTAATCCTGAAGTGACAGTTGAGAAACAAAAGTAAAATAAGGGTCTAAGCATGCCGCCAAAGTGCTTTTGGCAATGACCAGTGAAATGCCAGGGGGGAGGAGGCTTCTGCTGAAGTTCTGGGAACTAAGTTGCTTGATTGCACTACCAAGGACAACAGAGGAAGCCCCCCCCCAACCCCCTCCCCACACCAGACACTCCCCTAGTGGTCAGAAGAGGGCAGTGGAATGTATTCTGACATTCAGGACCACTGTATACCAGGAGCTACAGGGTTTCTTCCCAGCTTTGCACTCTGACTCCTGGCTAACGATCAATTCAAGGCTAAGATCAGCAGGCAGACCTGAACTACAACAGCACTGCGGGCCTTACATGTCTGCAACTGGCTGTCCAGAGACTGGCTGTCCCTCCAGCCTAGGATTCAGGGAAACCAGAGACAGGCCTACTATAGGCTTGGACTCAGTGGTATGCATAGTCATCTTGGCACAGAACAAAGCTTGGCTTCACAGAAAACCAACCCTTGATTCTAACTTCACCAAACACTTCAAATTAAAAGTGCACATGTACTTTGGGAGTTGGTGGCTTCAGTAAATGGATCTTCATTTTCTAAGTGAAGGCTGAAACTGTTACCACTTTGACCATATCTCTGAAGAAGTAGGTAGTATAAACATACCATTCAAAGTGCTGTGAAGTGACTACATAGCAAACGGATGACAGGGCTGCGTGAGGTAGCTGCTTAACACAAGTGGGGAACAGTAGCAACCCCAATAGCTATCTATTCACGGAGAGCTAGACCAAACAGTCCCAAGGGGCCTGGTGTTCCATGAGGCCCATTTTTCTTCACTTGACTCATTAGAATTATGGTGAATCTTGATGTGGACATTAAGTCAAGGGGAGGTTAGAACCTAACTTTGAGGGGACATGGAAAGTTGAGGGGAGGCCCTAGAACTACAAGGGCAAAACTATAAGCGGCAGGAACACACTAGAGACTGAGGACAAACTCCATCCATTGCCTTTGGCTTTTTCTTGCCCTTTTAAGGGTCTGTTAGCTTCTTTTAAAAGTCACTGAGTAGAAGGACACAGCAACAGTGTCAGGCAGGGAGAAGGGGAGGGGCCAGAGAACAAATGAAAGCTGGCTATTTGGCCTGGACAGACCTAGAACAACTGATGCATACACTCCCTCCACACCTAAACCATAAAATCCCTCCTGCCAATAGGCCTCTAATAACCTTATCCCCAGGCCACAGACAAGGGCAGAGTCCATGTTGGACTGGTGGTTATGTGAGGCAACAGTAAGACACGGATGCTCCAAACAGTGCATCTACAATTACAACCAGATCAGTCCCGATCTCCCAGCTCAGGTTCTCTTATACAGAAGTCCTGACAAGGTCCTCCACCCTTCCCAGAAGCCCCTCTACCAGATCCAATGGAAACATGGCAATCCAGTGAAGGTGCTGGAAAGGGTGTACTCTGGTACATCAAGAACAATCATGTAGGTTGGATCTGTGGAGGGATGCTATGCCAAGATCAGAGCAGCCTTGAGGAGAGGACACCTAGGAGCCACCTGTTCTCAAGCAATGGGAAATCAAGTTTCTCCAGCTCTGGGAGGGAAGGCATTGGCCACTGGACTACACCAAACCCACTCTCGGGAAAAGGGGCAATCAGTGACATCTGGACACAGTGTACTCAGCTCTTGGGGGTCACCTTCACTTTGGCCTCAGGCAGATGAGACTACACTCATGTCTGGTTTTGAAAAAACTTTCTGTGTGATCAGTAATAAGTCAGTAACATGTCTCCCTATAACCAAGAATTCAACTGCCTAACACCATGTACTCATCAGAATAACTAGGAACCAAAATTTCTGCAGTAAAAGCTTGAGAGTCATAGTTTCCAAAATTAAGACGCAGTCAAATACCATGCTATGGATTTGCAGTTTCAGAGCTGTATTTCCAAACTAAAATCTGAGTGAAAATGAGATTTTTGAAGGTCATGATGGAAATGAAATGAATACAGATGAAGTTACTTGGGTGCCTTTTAAAGATGCTGTATTTCACTTAAATGTCCCAACAAGGAAATAGTTTCAAATCTGCTTTCCCGTGTGTCCAGTAATAGAAATACATTGGGTCCAATTTCACATACAGAAACAGAGCATCTTTAAAGCTAGAGAAATCAGCATAGCTTACTTTACCGAAAAGTCACGTTCAAAATGTTGCATGCTCTACTGAAAACAGCAGAGAGAGAGAGAGAGAGAGAGAGAGAGAGAGAAAGAGAGAGAGAGATCATTATTCAGAGTTTAGTGTCATTTAAACAGTAACAGACAGTAAAATATTAGTCCGAATCACATGGTAATTATTCTCACTGCAAAATTAGGATATACTTAACCATAAATGTCTTGGCTTACAAACACAGGTGTGACCCTTTTAGGACATGGCAAAGGAATTAGGGAACCACTTTTTCACATTCTTTCTCCAAACCAGTTAGGTGGGGTTTTTAAAAATCTATTTACAAGCATAACACTGACTTCAAAGGAGCCATGGAGGTTTCCCTTGTCTGAAGAGCCAGCAGAACAGATGCCTGTGCTCTGCTCTGCATATTATTACTAACCAAAGGAGGTTTATCAAAAGGGAAAAATCAGAAAACTCACTGCTTTTTTAAGCACGTCTTTTATTGTTTAAAATGGACACATCTTTGAGAACAAAATAACAGGACACTGTTTAAGGCAGAGCTCCTGGGTGGGCAACCTCCTAGGAAGAGCTCGCTGTGGGATGTCCTCCCTTAGGCCACCTTAATCTAGTGAAACTTCCATAAGGTCATTTAGAAAAGCAAAGATTGTCTTCTTTCAAACTAATTAGGTTTCAAAGTGAAAATAATGCTTCCCCACAGTGAATCCAGAGTTCCTCTGGAAAATCTGCCCCTTTTGCAGGGAGGAAAACCTCATCTGTGGGGGAAGGGTCAGGGGTCAGGGCAGGCTGATCAACCTGCTACTGAGGCTGGAAAAACCCAGCCACCCCTTTTCCCTGCTGATAGCAGGGGCGCAGTCGAAGAGTGGGCTTGGGGGTGGGGCACCACTGAAGGCATTGCAGGGCAGACCTGCTCTGTGTGCGTGTGCGTGTGAGTGTGTGTGTGTGTGTGTGTGTGTGTGTGTGTGTTCGTTCTTTCCTTTTCACCTTCACCCACTGAGCCATCTCACTAGTCCAAGGGTTCTTTCAAAAGACAGCTTTCAAGAATGGAAATTATTTGACCAAGGTCACAATAGACAAGAGGTCCAGGTACAAGGCAGCCCAAGTGTTTTCCCTCTACATTCAGAATTATCACATAAGCAGAGCGGTATTTAAGTGCTAGGGGTCTTTGATGTACCCTGAAAAAAAAGCAAGCACTCAATAAATTGGTGAGGTAGATGAACAAAAGCAGAATCAAGTTCAAATCTTGGCTCTAGCAACTTCCTTTACCTGTATGACCTTGGCCAAGTTCTCTTAATGCTACTAGAGGCTCAGTTTCTTCCTCTATGAAACAGAGCTAAACTAAAATCCTCTCTCATTAGACAGGAAATCATGAGGACTAAATAATGACTACAAATTACAACAGATTATTAAAAACAACATGAACCCAGGCATAGTGCAAGCCTTTCTTCCTAGCACTTGGGAGGCAGAGGTAGGGAGGTCTCTGTGAAATCAAGACCTGTCTGGTCTACACAGTGACTTCCAGGGCCAGCTAGGGCTACAAGGAGACCTTGTCTCAAAAACACCAACAAAACAAACCCACAAAAATCAAAAACAACACAAGCTAAAGAGATGGTTCAGTGATTAGGAACACTGGCTGCTCTTCCAGAAGACTTGGGTTTGGTTCCCAGCACCCACATGGTGGCTAATAACTACCTGTAACTCCAGTTCCAGAGAATCAGATGCCCAGACCGACCTGCTGCTGCTGTTCTACAGCTGAGCAGACTGCCAGAGGGTACGTTCATACAGGGTTTAGCATCTGCTTGGTTGGAGGGAAAGGTGGTATGATTTCCTCTAACTGCTGTTTATTTTTCAGTTATTGTTGCCCTTTAAAGACGAGGTTAAACAAACCTTTGCTATGGAAACTGGTTCATCTGAAGCCTGAGTAGTAGGCACTACTCTAAGGTACATCAGCACTGCTCTAAGCCCTTACACATGGACCCCATTGAGCCCTAATAACCTGAGTAGGTAGCACTGTCATTCCACTCATCTACCAGTGGTAAACCTGCTTAGCACAGACAAGCCAAGTACTTTGCCCAAGTTCCCAGAAATAGCAAGCAGTGATCATGGCCTCTGTTTCCAGATCACCAGAACAGTTCTCATGGGTTCCAGTTGAACTGTGGCTGAGATGTTCTCTTTTGCAACAGTTCTTTTAAATTAATACCAGCCCTTAAAAACAAAGACTGTCCCTTCATTTCTGAAAACTGCATTTCATCATAAAACTAAAGACACTATCCGTGGCATAAAGACATAAACTTGGCCTAGAAGTAAAAACAAATGGAGTAAATATACTTCCATCCTTGCAATGAAGAGGGGCAGGGAAAAGATGAGGCCACTAAGAAGCCTCCTTCCTCCCCGGCAGGGGCTGACCAGCCAAAAGCTGCCCCTCATCCAGCAGAAGCCCTGAAGGCAGAGCCAGCATGCCTCCTGTGGTTGACTAGTGCCCAGCACAGGACAAAGTTCAAGATGCTGCTTGCTGAAGAACTTCGGTAAAGATCTTTTATTTCTGAGGAACTACTGGAAGAAAATTCTCGCTGGGCTTGGACCTAAGGAAAGTATCTGCCTTCCTCAACTGTGTCTGTCATTTTGGAGCCTGTCTGCTCATCTCTGTAACTCAGAGCTACACACAGTTCCTGGCAAACCACAGGCTCCCTGCAAGAGCATCTTAAGTACATCTGGAGTGAACAGACTCACTGTGAGCACCCGGTTTAGGACCTGAAATGCTAGGTGAGTAGGCAAATGCTGAATATCAGGTATTTCTGAGATGCATTACAAGTAACAGCCAGTAGAGGTCAGAGCATGGACTTTGGGTGAATAATTCAATAATTTCATTAACAAAAACATTAAAGGAAATAAAGACGAAGCTGCTGTTTAGCAGGGACTCTCCTGATAGTCCTGTGCTCAGGCTTCAAAATGCTTTCCCTCAACATGCTCATGGGCCCTTTCAGGGAAGGTGCCATTCTGTTCACAATACTGACCCTGCCACTCCCACTCCCCTAACCTGAAGCTTTTCCAACATTGGCTCTAAAATTTTCTTCTCTTATTTTGAAAGGGGTCTCATTTTGTGTAAACTTATCAGGACACTCCCATTCAAAGCAGAGGTAACTAGAAATCCCCCCCGCCCAAAGACCTGCTAGACTGTAAATACCACAAGGTAGTTAAAGATGAGAACTGGCCAAAAACTACTGGAGACCACATTTAATTAATACACAGTGAGGTGCTCTGCACACTAAACACGCTCCCCCTTGTTAATGAAGGCTAAGGAATCACAACTAATTTTCTACATTTCCTTAACATGTTCAAATGATATAAAATTAATGCCATGTCATCTGGATAAGACTCAAAATAGTCTGAACAATAGACTTCTAGAAATTTCTGATCAGCCCAAACAGCAAAACTCTATAAAAGGCAGATCCAAGCCAGGTATGGTGGTACATACCTTCAGTCCCAGCACTCAGGAGGCAGAGGCAGGTGGAGCTCTGTGAGTTCGTGGCCAGCCTGATCTACACAGTGAGTTCCAGGTCAGCTGAGGCTACAAGGAGACGCTGTCTCAAAAAGATCCCCCCTGAAAAAAAATCTGTTTTGAGTATTATTTGGAACTTGTTGTAAAATGAACTGACAAGAGCTAAGGCTTTTGCTGCATAAGACTGGCCCTGGCCCTAAAACATTCTACAGTGAGCAACAGTAACCACTCTCAGCCAATGGCTAGCAGCACAGGGTTCAAACCAACCTCCTGCATCTGCTTGTTTCTCGGGAAGGCCTGCAGATCTAACAGAGGCCACACTAACACTCTTGGTGGCTCCTTACCATGAGCATTAATGAATATAGCACTGCCACCTCACATATCAGCCCTGTCAACCAGTCTCCGTTCAAAGAGCTGATGGAACTCTCCCAAGGACAGTCAATAAACGGAGCAGTAGAGCTAGTGTCTTAGACATCTAGAACATGTTCATTGAAGAAGTAAAGCAGATGTGCCGCACATTGTTTTACTAGGATTACAAAACGATTAGAGAAAGAATCTTAGTTCAAAAAGGAAAGAAAGAAATATGACAGTATTAGGACACTATGCCACAGAACTGGAGATTTTTAAGTATTACAAAAAACAAATTCTTTTTCAATTTTTTAGACAAAAATCACTGTATCTGATTTAATTCACAAAGATGAAACAAAGGTTGTTTGGATAATTAAGTGCTTTTGAGAACAGAACAGAGTGTAAGTAGTTATGAAGAAATCAGATTGTGGAGATAGGTCACTCTGTACTTGGGCATCTTATCAGCTCTGCTCTGCAATAAACCCATAACATGGAAGGTCTCCTGAAGGAGAAAGCTCTGGCACGACAAGGACTCAGGTCAACAATGTGTTGTTTCACTCCAAGACAATCTCTAATCCAAGGAGTCCTACAGGAGGCTTTTCAGCAAACAAGTTTGAGCCAGAGGGAGCCAGTGGTCCTGAAACTAGTCCTTCCGTTATGAGAGCTGAGCTTGGAAACCTAGCCCATCAGCTCCCCCAGATCACAGCCAATTTGCATTCACAAATGTCCCTCTGGAGAAGACCAGTAGGCCAAGGCAGGAGAAAGTGCAGAGCTCCCCCTGTTGTTAGAGAGGAAGGAGGCATGTCACCTCACCCCTTTACTAACCTGCTGTAGAGGGTGGAGTTGGAGATGATGGGGATGTAAGAGGTGAGCTGGCCCCAGATCCTGCTAAGATAAAACACAAAGAAATCCTCATGGGGACCAAAGGCAGTGTTTGAAACTTGGTGTGAGCAGAGACTCAACACTGTTTAAGAATCTGTACTTGGCCCAGTATGTGAACCTTGTGGAACAATGTGATAAGGGACAAAAATTCTAGACACTGGACCCAATGATCATAGGTTTTCACTCCAGCGCTAGAGGTCTGTTTTCTTCCCCCGGCCACTTAAGGCTCACTGGCCATTGTGGAGATCAGCAGCACAGGCATTGATTGCAGTATCTCTTCCTGAACTAGGACAAAGACATGCACAGTAGCTTGGCGGGGTCCTCCCCCAAGGGAAGCAGGAGCTCCTCACAGCATCCATCTCCCCCACCCTGTCTCCCTCTTTCTCTCTCCCTGCCTCCTCCTTCCTTCTCTCCATCCTTTTCCTCCTTGGAATCACAATCCTCCTGTCTCAGCCTCCAATGGGAACACTGGAATTTACCACATCAGACTTGTATTCACTCATTCATTCACTTTTGAGACAGGGTCTTGCTAAGCAGCCTAGGCTGGACTCAATTTCTTGATCCTCCTGCTTCACCCTCCACACTGGATTACAGGTAATGTGCCACCACGCCCAGCCTTATTTTCTGTACAAGCTCAATTTTACCAGCAGCTACATTCAGTTAAAGAGGGTCAGCCCAGAGAATCTGTGGGCTTTCTAGACCTTTTCTTACATGAAATTCAGTAAACATCCTTATTTATGGTAAAATAATATGCAAAATCCAATATTTTACAAGTTTACTATCTCCTAGCAGCTTGAAAATCCCTAAAAAATATCCTCGCCTGAGGGAAGTAGCTTCATAGGCAGACAGAGGCTCCTACATAGGCCTCTTCTGGGGAAGAGGTGTAGTGCTATGGGAAGGATAACAAGGGTTCCCTCACTTGGTGCTGCCTGGGCTGACAGGCACACATACCCAATGGGCTGACAGGCACACATACCCAAAGGGAGGGCTGTTATACTCACCACTGAGAAGCCACCACTAGCTCTTCAGGTTAGGCCTCTAACCATCACTCTACTGACTCAGAGGACATGTTAGTGCCCTACGGACATCATAAACACCGGAGATATGTCCTAATTAAGCCACACCTTGCATTATTCACAATATTTCCTCAGCTATCTGTATGCAAATTATTTTACTAAAAATGGAAGAAAACTCAGCAAAGCTTCTTTGATACTGTTACTAACATATTTTAATGGAGAGAAAACTGAACGTGCGAATCTAGTAGGGTTGGCAACTGATCTACACACTTCCATAAACAATCAATACTTGGCTTTCCTAAACTCTTGAGATGCCTTTGGTGAGTTTTTGTTTGTTTTTTAGACAGGTCTCATGTATCTCAGGTTGGCCTCAAACTTGCTCTGTAGCTGAAGATACCCTTGAGCTCTTGATTACTGCTTCTGCCTCCTCAGTGCTGGGATTACAAGCATGTGTCACTACACCTGGTTTGTGCATTCTGGGGATTAAAACTAGGGCCTTGTGCATACCAGGAGAGCATTTTACCAGCTATGCTATACTCTTAGCTCTCTCTTGGATTTCTTTCATGTCTGCTCTAGCTTTATGTGGCACAGAGCAGGCATGGTTTCAAGAAGGTGGAGAGTATAGGTTCTCTGTTTTATAAAGAACTAGCTCCTTAGAGTCACTAGCAGATAGATATACTGGTTGGAAACATGAATCTCAGCCTCCCAATGACAGTGACTAGTCCATGTCTATCCCATCAACCATGGAGTAAATAGACTTCCAACTCTGAAATTACCTGCCAGGCACAGCAGCTGTCATCATGCAAGCCTGCCTTGGTCCTTACTGGGACCTCTCCTCCTCCTTCTCCCTCAAGCTTTCTCTGTCTCCAGCCTGGATGCTGTGGTGGGTGAGATTCTCATCTTCCTTCTAGTCACTTTTACTTTCCAACTTTACAATTTCCAGCTCTGCCCACATCCACTGCCTGCATTCTCCAGCTGTGGCTAGTCTAGCCTTCAGGGTTACAGCTCAATCCTCCTAGGCACCTCAGTGTCTCCTTCCTGGCAGACATCTTCCTAGCTGAGTTGACCAAGGAGAATGAGGCATAACCTGTGGTCTAGCCATCCCTCCCTCCCTCCCTCCCTCGCTCCCTCCATCTTCTCTAGAGTGCCCAGTCTGGTCTCAAACTCATGGGCTCAAGTAATCTTTCTCAACTTCCCAAGTAGCTGGGACTAGAGGCATATATATCATACCTAGCCCTTCTGCTTCTTCCCCTGCCGTCTCCCCTGGGTTCAGGAAGAGACCCGGGCTTCCTCCACACCTGACTCTGACAGTGGGGCTCTCAGTGCCACCCCTTGGCCCTCTAGATTCTCAATTACTCTCTTCTTTGTATCTTCAGCTTCTCCTCTGAGGGGTCCTTTATCTATTTTAAGTATAATCAGGTAACTTCAGTCTTCTTCAATCTTTCTTTCCCATGCCTTACCTCCCCGCCCCAGGCCCCCACCAGAGTTGAAATTGCCTGGGGCATAGTAAAACCTCCTCTTCTCTATATTGAACTCTATTTCATAGATTCATAAACAGAAGGGTCACTCAATCTGATCCTCAAGCTGGTCTAAAGATGAGTATATGTTAGGCGCAAAGGCAGCAGGGCCACAGGAGGGGCAGCTGAGAATGTTTGAGAACTGTCAACTCAGGACAGGGTCTATGCATTGCTCTGGACTTTCTGGAACAATCTTCCTGCATTTCCCCTACACTGCTGAGTCTACTCCTTAATCTACTCAGGGAGCACATCCTCCCACTACATGAGGTCAGAGCAAAAAGCAGGACTGGGGCTCATTTCTGTCAAATGCTCCCACATCTTTGATTGACAGAGTCTAGCCATCAATGGAGAGGTACAATGGGAGAAGTACCCAGTACCTCTGAGATCCTCCCAGCCCTTAAGCCCTAAGCTTATGAATGCTATCACACTCCTTCATTAGGAACAGAGTTCTTCTAATCTCTACATTATTACACTGCTCAGTCAAATCTCCAGACCATCTACAGACTCCTGACCTGTACCACTGGATCTTGGGCCCCAAGACAATCTAACCAATTACCTGAATTATTGGAGTTGCTGTACTTTGCTGACTGCTCTTCACTATTTTCAGCAGATCGTTTTGACTTCTTCAAAAATAAAAGGGTGGGTGATAAGAAAAAAATAATCACATTTTAGCTGAGAGTTACTTAAAAAAAAATGTTTTTTCCAGGCATACAGTTAAACTAGCTAAAGAGAAAGGGATATTTGGCTTCATAACTTAATGTGGTGAAGTCACAAGCCAAAGGGGGAAATAAAACCAAGAACATGACTTTATTATATCAAGCCAATAATTTCTTCTAATTACATTATGCCACAATATGCCCACCAATTCAGGAAACTATATGGTCCATTGCACTACTGATGTGTTTTCCTTTTTAAAGCTTCAAAGCAGTCATCTGGAAATACTTTTAGCTTTCAGTGGGATATAGCACAAAATGTGTCATTAAATGTGCACCATTAGCCTTGGATTTTCTTCACATGTAATCAAGAATTTAGAAAGAGAATACAGGGGTGATGGGCTTACTTTTCGAGCTAAGATCTTTCTCCTTTTCTTTTCTTCCTCAGATCCATGGTGTGACTGAGCTCTTGTAAGTCTACGATGCTGGTGAATCTAGAAGAGACCATGATCCCCCACAAATGTAAGCAAATCTTACCTAAAGCAGTTTGGTTGTTTTTGGGTTTTTTTTTTTTTTGTTTTTTTTTTTTTTTTGTTTTTTTTTTTTTTTTGTTTTTTTTTTTTTTTTGTTTTTTTTTTTTTTTTGTTTTTTTTTTTTTTTTGTTTTTTTTTTTTTTTTGTTTTTTTTTTTTTTTTGTTCTTTTTTGAAACAGGATCTCCCTGTAGCTCCAGCTGGCCTGGAACTTACTATGTAGACCAGGCTGGCATTGAACTCACAGAGATCTGCCTGCTTCTGCCTCCGGAGTGCTGGGATTACGGGCATGCACCACCACACCCAGCTCTAAAGCAGTTTCTCAATGAAACTCTTCTCCAACATGTTTGGCCACATTACACTGTTAAGATAAAAAAGTTTTCTTGACCTCTATGTCTCAAGCTCAGGTCTAAATGTCAGGGAGAAGGGTATGCTAAGGGATATAGATCCTTCTCACTTTCCTAATTTCTTTCTGCCATCTCTTGTTTACGGAAGAATGGCATCTTTACCACATGGAGCACGCATGCTACCAACCACCTCCACCTAGGAAGCCCTGATCATGAGGGATGACTACGTTTGTACATGTGCCTGTTTCTCTTGGATCAGTAGCTTGAGGGCTACACTGTGGAATATTCTGCTCCTGTGTCACAGCACCTACCCCAAAATCTGGTTGAGAGCAAGTATGGGGTAAACAATCAGTCAAAAGCCAACCACTGAATCCCAAGGCAGGGAACAGAGACACTAAAAGACCACAGGGCAATGAGGAACTGTTACCAGCTTACCTGCTTCTGTTCTTCAATGAGTCTCTTTTCTATACACTCTTTGGCAAGTCTCAATGCCTCTTTTAATTTTGTGGGAATCTGAAAGGAGAGAAAGTACAAGAGCTGTTGAATGAAGTGACTGGACAGTCACCTGAATCCTGAAGACACTGAGGAGCAGCTGGTTATCGAGGAGGAGTCCTCTAGAACAAAACCAGCTAAAGCCATCTACTTGGAATCAACCCCAGCCACCCTCACCTCTCTAGCACTTTTTAGCAACAACTGCATAAAATTAAAACATAAACTTAACATAATTCAAGGGGGCTCCAGAATTGCCAAAACAATCTTGAAGAATAACAACGTTAGAGAGCTCACAAAACCTGGTTTCAAAACCCATTATATAACCAATAGACTAATGGAACAGAACAAGAAACCCCAGAAATAAACGTTCACGCACATGGTCAAATGATCCTTGACAGAGATGTTAAGAACATTCAATGGAGAAAGGACAATCCCTTGAACAAACAGTTTTAGTAAAGTTGAATATCTACATGAAAAGTAATGAATTAAATTAAAATGGATTCAAGATCTAAATATAAGGCCTAAAACTGCAAATCTCAGAGCTGGAGAGATGGTTCTAAGGTTAAGAAAGTTTACTGCTCTTCCAGAGGACCTGAGTTTGGTTCTCAGCACCCACACTGGGTACCTTATAATTTGCCTGTAACTTCAGCTCCAGGGGGATCTGACATTTCTGGCCTCTAACGGCACATACCCATACACATACACATAATTGAAACTAAAATACATTTTAAACAAAACACAGATAAACATCATGGCACTGGATTTGATAATTTTCTTTTTATTTTTTAAAAACATTTTATTTATAGCCAGGTGTGGTGGTGCACACCTTTAATCCCAGCACTTGGGAGGCAGAGACAGGTGAATCTCTGTGAGTTCAAGGCCAGCCTGGTCTACATAGTAAGTTCCAAGACAGCTGGGGCTACAGGGAGACCCTGTCTCAAAAAAAAAAAAAAAAATTTTTTTTGTTTTTTGTTTGCTTGCTTATTTTTGAGGCAGCATCTCACTGAGTTGCTCAGGCTGGCCTTGAACCTATGACTCTTCTACTTCAGCTCTTGAGTAGCTGTGATTACCACTTTATAGACCCTTGATGTTTTTTTTTTTTTTTTTTTTTTTTTTCTTAAGGCGGGGTCTTGCTGTATGGCCCAGGTTGGCCTGAAACTTTCTATATAGTCCAGTCTGGCCTTAAAAGAATGATCTTTCAGCCTCCCAAGTGCTGAGATTACAGGCATACACCATCATACTCCAATGGCAATGACTTCTTGGGGATGATAGTCAAAACATGGGTAATAGAGGAAAACAGTAGCTTTGATGCATCAAAATTAAAACTTTTCAACAAAGTTGAACAAAAGACACTACCAACAATGAAAATGTAAATATTTAAATATCTATATTGCTAATAAGAGTTTGGTATCCAGAAGATATAAAAGAAACTTCTGCAAATGAACAACAAAATTATGTGATCAAAATTTAAAATGGACAAAGAACTTTAACAGACATTTCTTCAAAAAAATATATAAATGGGGGGCTGGAGAGATGGCTCAGTGGTTAAGAACACTGGTTGTTCTTGCAGAAGACCCAGGTTAGCTGCCCAGCACCCACAGGACAGCTAACAACTGTCTGTAACTCCACTTCCAGGGGATCCGACAGCCTCTTCTGTCCTCCACGGGCATTGCACAACACGGGTACACTGACCTACAGGCAGGCAATACATGCATATACATAAAATAAAAATAATAAAATATTTTTTTAATGAAAGAAAATATACAAATGGTAAAAAAAATGCTTCATCAAATTGTCTTTTCATACACTAAAAAGATGCTCAAGGGCTAGAGAGATGGCTCAGGAGTTAGGAGCACTGACTGTTCTTGCAGAGGACCCAGATTCGATTCCCAGCACCCACATGGTGGCTAACAACTGTCTGTGACTCCAGTTCCAGGGGAATCCGATGCCCTCTTCTGACCTCCATGGACAATGCACAGCACAGCTGTACTTACACACATGCAGGTAATACACTCATACACACAAAATAAAAATAATAAAAATAAGACTTTTTTTTTAAAAAAAGATGCTCAACATTGAAGAAATAAAGCAATACCACCATAAGATATATCACTTCGTATCCATTAGGATGTCCACATCAAAAATAAATTAAGTGGGGGCTGGAGAGATGGCTCGGCAGTTAAGAGCACTGACTTCTCTTGCAGAGGACCTGGGTTCAATTCCCAGCACTCACATGGCAGCTAACAACCATTTGTAACTCCAGTTCTAGGGGATCCAACACCCTCTGACGCCATGGGCATTGCACACAAAATAAAAATAATAAAGAAAAAAATTAAATTAAAAAAACAGTCTGTCATGGTGGCATATGCCTGCAATTCTAGCACTTGGGAAGCTGTGGAAGGAAGATTATGAGTTCTAGGCCAGCCTGAGCTACAAAGCAAGTTCCAGAATGGCCAACTTGAGCTACATAGTAAGATCCTGTTGCAAATAAAAATAATAAATAACAATAATGTTGGCAAGAATATGGAGAAATTGGAAGCCTTGTGCATAGATGGCAGGAATGTAAACTGATATACTCACTGTGGAAAACCATATGGGGATTCCTCAAAAAACTACAAACAGGATTACCATGAGATCCAGAAACTCCATTTCTGAGTATACATCCAAAAGCTAGAAGCTGGACCTCAAAAAGGTATTTGCAGCTGGGCATGGTGATGCATGCCTATAAGTCCACCACTTGAGAGGCTAAAGCAGGACTGCTTCGAGTTTAAGACCAGCCTGGGCTACATAGGTTAGAGTACCAGACAAACCTGGGTTACAAAGAAAAACTGTCTCCCAAAATTTAAAAAATAAAAAGGTATTTGCACACTCATGTTCATCACAGTCAAGAGGGAGAAGCAGCCCAATGTTCATCAAAAAAGAAAATATGCACTCGTGTGCATATGTGCATGTGCACACACACACTGACTCACTGACTATGCTCAGCCATAAAGAGGAATGAAGTCTTATTCTATATTACAACACAGTGAATTCTGAGTACACTATGGTAATGAATGAAATGAATGAGTTGCAAAAATACAAATATTTAACATCTCTTTCAGCTTTGTGGGAATCTGAAGGAAGACCAAGTACATAATGTATTGAATAAAGTGGCTGGATTTTCCTGTGTCAATGAGGAACAGTTGATCATTGAGAATAACAAAAATGAAAATAAATGATCCGTGTAATTCAACTGATACACGACACCCATAGCAATCAACAACATGAAAACAGCAGACAGAAGAGTGGCTGCCAGGAGCTGGGGCTGGGAGGAATGAGACGCTGTGCCGCAGGCTTAGACTTTCAATGTTTTTGGCTTTCTTTTTTTGGTCTTTTTTGAGACAGTGTCTCCCAGTAGCCCCAGATGGCCTGGAACTCACTGTGTAGACCAGGCTGGCCTTGAACTCACAGAGATCCACCTGCATCTGCCTCCCGGGTGCTGGGATTAAAGGCGTGAGCCACCACGCCTGGCTAGACTTTCAGTTTTTAAATCTGTTAATCAATGTCAAGCTAGGAAACAACATTGAACTATACACTTAAAAATGGGTAAAAGGAAACAGCTTATACTTTGTGGTTCTTTTTTATGTGTATGAGTGTACTGCCTGCATGTATGTAAGTGCACCTGTGTGATGCAGTGGCCACAGAGGTCAGAAAAGGGCATAGGATCCCTGGAACTGGATTTACGGACAGTTGTTAGCTGCCATATGGGTGCTGGGAACCAAACCCAGGACCTTTACAAGAGCAACCAGTACTCTTAACCACTGAGCCATCTCTCCAGCCTCATACTTTGTGATTCTAAATTTAAAGCAAATACAAATTTAAGTAATTATATTTTGCAACTTCAGAGAGATGTTCTCCAGGAAAGATCTACATCCTGAATTTTCACGGTTAGACTTTATCTTGGGTGACACCCCTAAAATGCCTGTGCTTCCACCCATCCATCCTTCCTTTCTCCCTGTCCTCTTGCCTTGCCCTTCTAATTTTCCTTTTTCTTGCAGTGCAAAAGACTGAACCCAGGGCTTGGTGCATGTAAGGTAAGTGTTCTTCCACGAAGCTGTACTCCTAAGCCCTTATTTTTTAATGTATTAGTCTTCAGCCATGAGGGGTCCAGATCATAAAATTTTTGTCTTTATTACTCTTAAAAAATTTAATTTTAAGCAAGCCTTATGTGGGTGATATAATCATGTAATTAAAAATCCTATAGTAGTTAAAAAAAAGGCCTACACAGTGAAAAGTCTCCCATCTCATTCTCTTCCATGGAGGCAAATGTCATGTTCCCTATGCAACTTTCTATAAAGTCAGTGTGCATACAAGAAATTAATGTTGGCTTTGGAAATCATATTATTCCCTACTCTAGCTTAGGAGAAAAAGGTATAGTACTAATCTCTGAATCCTGAGGTCTAGAATATCAGAGTTCAAGGGGAGCATATTTATTGACAAGGTTGAATGAATATATTTCCTAGGAAGTTTTGGTAAAGAGATGGATTTAGCCGGGGGCGTGGTGACACACACCTTTAATCCCAGCACTCGGGAAGCAGAGGCAGGTGGATCTTTGTTAGTTTGAGGCCAGCCTGGTCTACATAGTGAGCTCCAAGACAGCTGGGGCTACAAGGAAACCCTGTCTCAAAAAGACCAAAAAAAAAAAAAAAAAGAGAGAGATGAACTTAAATGCCCCCCGCCATCCCCACACTTCAGATCTAAAGAAGTTATTGTCAAAATTCTTCTAACTGGCAAACAGGACATTTATGCATTTATTTATAAATTTATACAATCTTCTAACCCCATCTTGGCTTTATTTCTTCTTCGTTTTGTTTTCTAACTTTATTTTCATTTCAATCTCCTGGAATACAGAAAGGAGAAATGCCCTTCAGCCTCCCTCCTACTCAGTCAGTACTAACTGCACAATGGTGAGAGTCAGACCCTGAACCAGGAGTTCGTGAAGATGATCTCAAGTTGTCTAATAACAGACTGGAATTGTTCAACCATTTTATATACAAGTAAACACTGTATACCTGTGCACAGGTAACAGGCTCTCAACTGGGGGCAGTTCTGTTCATGTTTCCCTGGACTGTCTGGAGATGTTTTCCATTGCCACCAGAGGAGAAGGTAGACAGTATTACTAGCACTCAGAGGCAGAGGCAGGACTGCTGCTTCTCACCTTGCAGTGCATAGGCCAACCTCCCCAGCAGAAAATTATTTGGCCCCAAATATCAAACCCCATGGTCAAACCATGTCTACAATAGTGTCTGGTATCCACAGAGCAACACAAGTTCTTATTTTTTTGTTGTCGTTAGTTTCGTTTTATAAAATATTTTATTTATTATTTTTATTTTATGTGTACGAGTGTATCGCCTGCATGTATGTGAATGCACCTGTTGCACAATGCCACGGAGGTCAGAAGAGGGCTTTGGATTCCCCTGAAACTGGAGTTAAGGACGGTTCGTATCTACCATGTGGGTGTTAGGACTCAAACCTGAGTCCTCTGCAAGAGCAATCAGTGCTCTTAACCGCTGAGCCATCTCTCCAGCCCTGGCTATGTAGCCCTGGCTTGCCTGGAACTTACTATGTAGACCAGGCTGGCCTCAAACTCACATAGACTTGCCTGCCTCTGCCTCCTGGGTACTGGGATTAAAGGTGTGAAGGTGTATACCACCATGCGTGGCTTGATTCTAGTTTTCCAGTTCCAAAACCCATGATCATTCTACCATGAGACATCCAGATTTTTCTTCAGACACAGATGTTTGGGTTTATATTACACATATTTTATATACTACTTTTTTTTCTTAGCCCAAATAATAATCGTTTTTCACATTACTACAATGCCTTTTACATTTCATTTTTATTAGCTAAAAATATTTTTAGTCCAGGCTGGACATGGTGGCACACACCTTTAATCCCAGCACTTGGGAGGCAGAGG